TGGGTTGTCACTACAGTAGCTAGTAGGTGGGTTGTCACTACAGTAGCTAGTAGGTGGGTTGTCTCTACAGTAGCTAGTAGGTAGTAGGTGGGTTGTCACTACAGTAGCTAGTAGGTGGGTTGTCACTACAGTAGCTAGTAGGCGGGTTGTCTCTACAGTAGCTAGTAGGCGGGTTGTCACTACAGTAGCTAGTAGGTGGGTTGTCACTACAGTAGCTAGTAGGTGGGTTGTCACTACAGTAGCTAGTAGGTGGGTTGTCACTACAGTAGCTAGTAGGTGGGTTGTCTCTACAGTAGCTAGTAGGCGGGTTGTCACTACATTAGCTAGTAGGTGGGTTGTCTCTACAGTAGCTAGTAGGTGGGTTGTCTCTACAGTAGCTAGTAGGCGGGTTGTCTCTACAGTAGCTAGTAGGCGGGTTGTCACTACAGTAGCTAGTAGGTGGGTTGTCTCTACAGTAGCTAGTAGGCGGGTTGTCAGTACAGTAGCTAGTAGGCGGGTTGTCACTACAGTAGCTAGTAGGTGGGTTGTCACTACAGTAGCTAGTAAGTGGGTTGTCACTACAGTAGCTAGTAGGTGGGTTGTCTCTACAGTAGCTAGTACGCGGGTTGTCAGTACAGTAGCTAGTAGGTGGGTTGTCTCTACAGTAGCTAGTAGGTGGGTTGTCACTACAGTAGCTAGTAGGTGGGTTGTCACTGCAGTAGCTAGTAGGTGAGTTGTCACTACAGTAGCTAGTAGGTGGGTTGTCACTACAGTAGCTAGTAGGTGGGTTGTCACTACAGTAGCTAGTAGGTGGGTTGTCACTACAGTAGCTAGTAGGTGGGTTGTCACTACAGTAGCTAGTAGGTGGGTTGTCACTACAGTAGCTAGTAGGTGGGTTGTCACTACAGTAGCTAGTAGGTGGGTTGTCACTACAGTAGCTAGTAGGTGGGTTGTCACTACAGTAGCTAGTAGGTGGGTTGTCACTACAGTAGCTAGTAGGTGGGTTGTCACTACAGTAGCTAGTAGAACAAATTTGATTGCTTTTTTACATTATACTCAAAGGGCCAGTAAATATCACCCCGGGGCCGGATTTGGCCCGCGGGCCGCCAATTGAATAGCCCTTTGCTAGGAGATGTTTAAAAACTGCATTTTAGCTCAGAAGGGAAACTCACTCTTCTTTTTGGCTGCAGTCTGAGCTGAAGCTGAATCCGACGTCTCCTCTTCATCCTTCACCTCCGTCTTTATTTCCGGTTTCCTATCTTCCGTCTTAACGCTCACCATCGTCGTCGTCGTTTTAGTCGTCGATGATGATTCCATGGGAAGCCCTTTGCCTCCCTCTCCGGAGCACTCCTCCTTTTTCACCTCCAGCTTCACAGGCTTCTCCTCAGTTTTCATGTTGCTGAGCTTCCCTCCCTTGGAGCAGCTGCCACTGTCGCTCTCCTCCTCCTCCTCGTCCTGCTGCTGCTGCTTGATCTCCATCTTGGAGTCGTGGTTGGCGGTGGAAGCGTTGGACTGCGGCTGCTGGGAGGAAGCGTCCAAGCTGCTGACGGAGGCCGGGGTCAGCGCCTGATTGTCTGTGTGGAATGAACCCTTCTGGGACAACTAGAGAGAGGAGACATGGGATCAAAACTCAGGTGCATGGAAACAGGGAATCAGAGATATTAAAGGACAGGATGCTTTGACAAGATACAAGCACATTAACGTTAAGTGAAGCATTGGACAAACTTTAACACAAATGATGAAGCTGGATCATAACTGAGGACACAGACAAATGTTAAGTCCCATGATAAGTGCTATATGAGGAAAAGGCAGATTAAAATAACCCTTTTATCAATAGGGTTTGAAACCTTGACCTGACATGAGCTTATCTTCATGTCATCATCGTATTGTTGTGTCAAGCTGGGTCATAATGAGTCCAGTATTGAAGGAGAACCCTGCAGAGGACATCCTCAATTTGGGCTGCTATGTAATCCTTTGGCGCAACTGCACACCTTTAATGTATGTCCAAACAACTTTGTTTTGGTATTGACCGGCTCAGATTGGAATTATAAGCGTCTTACAACATTGTGCAAAGGAGCCTTCAGAGAAATAAAACGTTGTTAGCGTTATTTAAAAGATTTTCAATGTCAAGATTGTGGATGCAACAGGAGATTACAGAATGAGACTCCTCAGAGCGAGACTTGGGTTAGCCACAATTACAAAAATACAAGCAAAATGAAACGACCCTACAGTTTCCTTTTTTCTATAGGGTCCTTTGAAGGATGTTGTGAGACACTCTTGATGGCAAGAAACAAGGCACTTTTAGTGGATATACATTAAGACCCCATTTACACGGGAACGTTTACGCACCGTATGCGTTTAAAAAAAGTCTTCCGTTCACACGCCTTCGGCTCAATTAACGTGTCCGTTCACACGAGACTACTGGAAACGCTGTAGTACATATGCCGGGCCTGTAAGTGGCGCTGCTGCCGCCACAAAATACACCAAAAGCAGTGAAGAAGACCCCGGAGCATGGTTGCCCTTCTGTTTATCGTTTTTGTTACAGCCTCGTGTAAACGAAAGGGCTATACTAGAGATGTCCCGATCCGATCACGTGATCGGGGATCGGAGCCGATCACGTGATTTTCAAAAGATCGGAAGAAAAAAATCGGGGATTGGGATTTTTTTTATTTTGTATTCAATGTTACAAAACAAAAATGACCATGTTCAAGTCTTAAAGTCATCCTGAGGCCTTAGTTTTGGTTTCAAATTACACAACATCATGTATCATGCTTCTTTGGGGCTTGTTTTCATAGACCTGGTTGCTTATTTCTCTCAAATCTGGCAACAGAGTGGGCGCAGTGTCTAATTGTAGCAGTAAGCTAACGAGTACTGATAAGCTTTATTTTGTTTTGATCCAATGCTGCTGTGAAAAAAAGAAGCTATATCCATGTTGGATAGGATATCCAATTTAAATAAAAAAAATAACCTTCAGGGACAAGGGACAACATTGCATAAAAGATCGGATCGGGAAAAATTGGTATCGGCAAATTGTCAAAATCAAATGATCGGAATCGGATCGGGAGCAAAAAAAGGAGATCGGGACATCCCTAGGCTATACGCAAGAGAAACTATGCGGATACAACCCGTATCGTGCTCGTGTAAACGGGGTCTAAATGGGGCAACCTTTCCCGAAAGACTAATATTGCATAATGTTTTGCGTCTTTCAGTCAATTTCACTTATTGTGTTGATTAGTCACATTACCATGGGAAAACCAGGTGCTGATTAAAAGTGTCTGCCACAGAATTATTGGAATCTATGCGATAAAATAAACTGGTCTTAATGTATTAAATAATAATACATGTGATTTAAATAGCTCTTTTCCTGGTGCTCAAAGCGCTATATAAGCAAGACTAAAGGACAGTTTCATCCCACAGGGCATACGACCGTTAAACACCTGAACTTTTGAAAGAACGTCCATAACATTCATCTGCATCTCATATATATCAATGTTCCAATATTCCAATTACTTGTATATAGACTATTCTGCACAATTTCTATTATATTCTATTTCATTTTCTTGCACTGTTATCAGTTGTATTGTGTTGCACTGTGGGAGGAGCCTGTGACCTAAGATGTTCATTGTCATAACTACACTGTAGCTAAGCACACATGACAATAAAAGCCTTGAATGTTGAATCTAAAGAAGAAAAATAAGTCTGTGGAAGTCTAAACCCCACTGACCGGAGTGCGTGGCAGCTGAGACCCGTGAGGCGTTGAGCTGGATCCTAACCCCGGATGAGAGGGAGTGGTGGAGCCCGAGGAGCCCATGTGCTGCTGCTGCTGCTGCTGCTGCTGCTGCTGCTGGAGGGGCTTGTTGGAGGCCGGGCCCTGGCTCTGTGGGGGGGCTGAAGGGGGCCCCAGGGCGTTGGGGGTGTGCGGCTGCGGCGTCTGGGACCCGGGGTGTCTGGGGGGGGTCTGGTGAGGAGTGGGGGAGCGGCTGTGGGCCGGGGAGGGCGAGCTGCGCATGGCTGCCAGGTGAGGGAGGGAGCTGGGCTGCTGGTTTGAGTTCGATGGAGTCATGGAGGACGCTCCTACGCTCTGAGGACCCAGAGGCCCCACAGAGGAGACGCTGCCGGGACCCCCGACTGAACCGGGCTGAGCGAGAGGACTCGAAACCGGGGTGCCCATCTGCGTCTGGGGAGAGGAGGAGGATGCAAAGAAAGACGGTCAATAAAAAAAAGTTATAGTTTAAGAACAAAGCTCCAAGCAAGTCCCGTTTCTGGTGGTCTCTGACGGAATAGTAACCATTTGTGTTTGTTGTTCCTTATTGGTCAAAAAACTTAAATTTGACACAAGCACTTACAATCCTGTAACTTTAGAAGTATTTTTAAGCAAAAATCCAATATAATGGGCGCCAACAGATTTGATTTAAAGTCACAAGGAGGAATTGACTGATTCAAATTTTAATTCATATTTTAGGGTATTCTAACAGGGTATATGCAGGAATCCTGAAGTCGAATGTAATTCCTTTTAAGACCTTTTTTAAGACCCTTTCCATACATGTTAAGACCTCATCGCCACTTGGAGTTTTAACCGGTTACCTTGGGCTAGTAGGTGAGTGAGTTGTCACTACAGTA